TACTTTATTAGCCTCATCTCAGTATCTTCTATACTAGGTTTGACCCACCATTGTTCCTTATTGTAACCAATTAAGTCACATCATATGTTTCCCCATTACTTTTCACCCCCTCCATCTGAGTGCCCTACTTAGCATTAAATGTCAACTTGACACAGCCTAGAATCACTTGAGAAAGGACTTTCAGTCAAGCAGTTTTCTTTATCAAGTTGGTCTTTGGGCATGTCTGTAAGAGATTGTCTTAATAGGCAGTGGTTGTCAATGAATCCAGGTCACTGTGGAAGGTGCCATTTCCTGGGCAAGTGACCCTTGACTGTCTTAGAAGTCTAACTAGCTAAGCATAAGCTGGTAAGTGAGCCAGCAAGCAGTATTCCTCCATGTTTTCTGCCTTGACTTCCTCCAATGATTGATGGACTATGACCTGGAAGTGTCGTAAGTCCATCCTTTTGAGTTGCTTCTTGTTAGAATGGCTTATCACAGCCTCAGAAAGAAAACTAGAATAGTGAGCAAACCTTCTTGTAGGGGAAATGGGGACTCTCCCAGTTCTTCTGCATGCTACAAGCTCAGACAGAGGCAGGATGAACAGAACTGCTAGAAAAGGGTGACTACGCTACAGCTGTTGTCTCCTAGATGGGCTCCTTTGAGACAGGGACACTGCCTTGTACAGCTGGGCTGACTGGGACCTTTTTAGAGTGCCCTTTCTTGCTCTGCAGGCCAGGATCATAGTAGCCTGGAGCATTAGGGTCTTCTTAGGCTTCCCATTTGGTGGCTGCTGTGATCAGCTTTGGTGATGTTAAGTGCCACCTTTCAGCTGGCAAAGCTCTAGGCACCCCCATCTTCCTGCTATTTCTCTGTCTTTGTTTAATGTGAGCCATTGCACATTCCATAATGGAGTAGATTACATCAGATGCTGTATTTGTCAGCCTCAGCACTAAGCTTTCCTTCTCGCTGCTGGCGCAGAAAGCCAGTCTGGTTTATGGTAGGATACTGTTTACACTGCAGACAGGGTTTCAGGGGATCCCTGGTGGAGAACCTGATGGCGTCTGTCTTTTCCTGGTGGTCAATAACATGGAAGCATGAGTTAGGAGACTAGCCTTCAATCCCACTGGAGGTCGGTTCTTTCCTTTTCTCCCTTCCTTCCTTCCTTCCTTCCTTCCTTCCTTCCTTCCTTCCTTCCTTCCTTCTTTCTTTCTTTCTTTCTTCCTTTCTTCCTTTCCTTTTTGAGACAAGGACTCTCTGTAGCTTTAGAGCCTGTCCTGGAACTCATTCTGTAGACCAGGCTGGCCTTGAATTCACAGAGATCCATTTGCCTCTGCTTCCCAAGTGCTGGGATTAAAGGCATGTGCCACCACTGTCCGGCTTTGGCGGCCCTTTCTATGCAAGGTCTTATGCATGTAACTTAAGCCTTGGGTTCTCAGGTTCTCATGGAAAATAGGGTTGAAAATAGGCTGTAGTATCATTTTGACCTGAAGTCAGGATACCACATATGACATGCTTATCATGGTTCCTGGTGCATAGAAATGATCCAATGCACAGCAGCCATTGCTAATGTATTTATTACACTCTGATGCTTGAATTCTGTCACATAACATATCCTCATGGCCATAGCAACAGACCAAGCCTCACAGTCAGAAAGACTTGCAAAGTTGTGGCAATCTCACAGGCTTCTAGGACGGTGGTAAGGATTGACTAGGACAGTGGGTATAATTATAATGCATTCGCATAGGAGTTTCACTGCTTTACTCATTGATTCCTCTTGGCAAACTTAAGGGCAGATAATATATGCATTTTACACACTAGGAAACTGAGGCGTTAACCATTAAGAAACTGGTTCAAACTTTAAGTTAGTAAGTGGCTAGTCAGATGCTTACTGTGCCAATGGCTGCTTTCTTCTCCATGGTCTGAGGTACTTGGCACTATTGAGAGATTAAAATTGTGAATTACATGTCTACACATTGCAGATGTAGAAACAAGGTGGCTACAGAGCAGAGCAGGCATGTAGAGCAATATCTATGGAGTCTCTGAGAACTGAAGTCAAGCCAATCATGGAACCAGAAAGGGCCCAAACTCCTTCCTGTGTCCTTGGTGTTCCACTGGGAGCTTTGGCACACAGGATTCTATGGAGAACTGAGAGACACCACGTGTATAGTGTCTATGGTCTGTGTGAATTCTGTCCCCATACATACCTCTGAGAGACTTGTTCCCAGAATATACCGGGGAGATCTTTTCCTAAGAATTGGGAAGAAAAACAACTCCCATGGTCAGCCCCAGCTGAACTGCAAGTGGGATGTGTGAAGAAGATTTGAAAACACAATCTTGTTATGGCCAAATGTCCAGCCTTGTTTTCCACTGGTCCAGAAAAGCATGCACAAAGCACAGCAGCCTCCAGGCTAGGTACCCAGAGGTGTCAGTCAGTGGCCCAGAGGAAACAGATGGCATCGTTCAAATTAAGTGAGATGTGAGGAAAGTTTAATAAAGGAGCTATTTACAAAGGTGAGGGGGACCCATGAGACAGAGTACAATTCCCTGGGGCTGGTCACAGCCCTGTGTTGTCACCTCCCCTGGGCCTTTGGATATACAGATAGAGAGCACCCTGGAGGCAGCCACCTGGCAAGAAGTATGGCTTTTGGCAGAGGGTCTCACACAACACAGTGTGGCCTTCTAAGAGAGAAGATGGGGTGTAAATGCCTCAGCCACCATCCCTATCTCCTCAGACTTCCCAATCCTGTTTCCTCATCAGGAGCTATGTGAGAAGGAACAGCCTCCTGAGGCATAGAGCAGGAAGACAGAGTTGAAACTGTAAGGGTCTGAACAAGCAAAGGGAGGTCTCGGGAATTGTGGTATTCAGGAAAGCTATTGTTACTTTGAGACTGAAAACTTTTCAGGCAAACCCTAAGTTTGGAAACCCAGTGATAATTGTCTGATTTTGGATTATGTAGAAAGGTAGCCAAGGTATGCCTATATTATTTTCTGGCAAACTTGGATGTCTGACATTGCCTTCTGTGCCTCTCCATATTAACCCACTCAAGCTGAATTGTGTCTTGAATTTAAGCTGTCTCTATGGCTATTCTGTTCAATGCCTAAAATAGCCTAAGAGGATTGCCAACTCCTTTATGTCCTCACAACTGGCTTATCTTCACTGACTTGTTTGTTTTCATTTCATATGCACAAATAAACATGTGGCATTCTTTAGTATCTTTGGGAGAGTTGATGGCATGTACTGAGCACCACCATACCAAGATCTATTATACATTTTGTAGCCCCTTACATAAAGTGATGCAGTACCTACATATAACCTCATATATTTTCCCGTATATGTCTAGATATATGGGAAAATTAAGTCACTTCTAAATTACCAACAGTACATAATGTAGTATAAATATTGCATACATAGTGATTGCACTGTATTATTTAGGAAGTAAAAATAAGAAAGTGTCTATACATGTTTGGTAATGATTTTGTTCTTGGCATTGGATTGAATTCATAGATTCAGGAATCATAGATAGAGACGGATGAGTGTGTCCAATTAAACTATGGAACCCCCCCACACACATAATGACATGTTTTATTTGTCTCCATATGCCCAGAATCTGACACAAGGCTGACATATTGTAGAACACCAAAAAGGATTTGTTAAATTTGTGGCATTTATTAAGCCCTTACTACTTTTCAAGCATTGTCTCAGGCCATTCTTTTCGATATTGTAATTTAACATTTCCAACCACTCTAGTTATATTACCCTCACTTTTACAAATAAAGGAACCAAGCTTCAAAGAGACGAAAGAGGCAGAATGTGGGTTTTAATAAGGTTTCTGGTCGCTTCCCTGATCCAATGTTCGGTCCTTTTCTGCTCAGAAGCTGCCTCTGGATTGGTCACTGAACAGTTACTTCATGCATATGCATGGGCTGACAGCATGAATGAGCCCCCCAGCGCCTCTGTGCATGTATGCTTTGTGCATCTCTGAGCCTATCCTCTAGTGTGCTGGCCTGCTGGCAGTTGTAGTCCTACTTTCTAAAGACCAGTTAAAATAATTTTAGTTGACATAGTTGCACTTGATTGTGGGTTGTGGCATGATATTTCAATACATGTATACAATGTAGACTGATGAAATCAAGGAGTTTCTGTTTCCCTTTCCATCATTATTTTGTTTGGAGCCTTTGAGCTCCTCTCCACTAGTTATTCATAAAATAGATAATGGATCATTGTGAGGCGCAGCCATCCCCTGTGCTACACAACACTAGCACTTATTCCTTCTGTCTCAATGTCTTTGGTGCCCAAACTTCTCATCTCCTCTGATGTGTACTGCCCACAAGCATTCATAGTGTCTGCCTAACTGGAACCCATTATGCACCATGAGCTTGAGATCAAGTAAGGTGGATGCTGGCTGTACATTAGATGCAAGGAGGTTGGCTCTATCATAGCTGGCTTTCCCCCATTTATTTAGAACACACACGTTGCTGGCAGTTTTTTTCTGTGGAATGGTTGAAATATAATTGTCAAGTGCTTCCCGTTTCAGTGTTCTGAAATGGAGCAGCCAAAATAGCTTGTCTTAGAAGAAACACACACACACACACACACACACACACACACACACACACCCCTATGGAGGGGGAAGGAGAGGAACAAGGTAGGTAAAATGGTTGAGCAGGTAAAAGTGTTTGTTGTGTAAGCCTGATTATTTTAATTGGATCCTTAGTGGAAGAACCAAGTCCAACAATTGTTCTTTGACTTCCACACAGGAGCTGTGGCGTGCACATACCTACACTGCCTCTACTCACTAATAATAAATCTAAAATTTTAAAAGAGAGAATAAATATTAAAAGCTGGTCCTTATTATATACAATCCACATGTCCTTTATTTGCATAGTTTTTTCAACCTTCATAAAAGCTTTGAAGGTAGGAAGTATTGTTAGTTGTGTTTGGGAGACAAAGGGCCAGAGGCTTTGGGGCGTTATAGCAGTGATCCACAGGGCGTACCTGCATGTCTGTTTCTTGTCCTCAGGTGGGACCAAACCTACATTCATCATCTTCTGCCCTGTTTTACAAAGGATTTGGGGAACGTTTGGATCTGATCTAGAAAAATACTTTTCTGACCTCTGGTAGGTGATGTGGGATTGGGAATAGGAGGCAGGGAGGGGAGAAGCTACTTCTAGTCCTGTCTATATAACTTAAGGCATTCCCATGGCAAGGGTTTCTTCTTCCTATCAGTCCTCAGGACACTCTCCCTGCCCTTTTGTGTGACCCTTGTCCCAGGCTACCCCTTATCTTCTTTTCTAGGCAGGAGGCTAGTTAATCGCAGGTCTATAAGATCCCTCTTTGTCCCCTTCCAGGCCCAAATTTTCAAAGTCCACCACACATTTACTGAGCTAGCTAGGGAGGAATTAGTGTATCACATATGTTCAGAGCTGTGGCTACTTCCTCTCTGGGACAATTTAGATGGTGTAGACCATAGGTGAGAGGAGAGGGGTGAAAGAGCTTGTCTCAGGCCACAGAGATAGCAAAGGGGGCTGGCTTGAGCATGGGCCTCCCTCTCTTCTCTAATGGTCTTTCTGCAGGTTCACATAGGTCAGCAAGTGCCAGCCGAAGTCAGTAGACAGAAAGGGGAAGCCATGCAGAGAAGAAAGGATTGAGAAGTGTGGAATCCAGCAAATAGAAGCAAGCAAGCATTTCCAAGCAACAAACTGGTAGAAGGTTAGAGGAATGGATCTAGGATCTCATTTCCTCTCTTCTGAGGTTACAAGAAGAAAGTCACTCACCAAGGTCAAAGGATGAGATGCTTAGTCACAGAGTGATTCTTCTGCTGGGTGTTGTGAGGGGTGGAAGCAGTGTGAGTTCTTCACTGAGACACTAATATTCTGTGCACTGAACTTGAACATTTTATACACAATATACAGACATGAGTATGTGCAGTGGAGTTGGGAAGTGTCTGCTCTTGGGTTATATTTATTTGTGTCCACATCTCAGCACTGATGCCTCTTAGCTGCCGGATTCATTACTCAGAGGAATGGAGCAAACAGGCAAACACTTAATATTGATGCCTGACAGTCTTAGTCTTTCCCCATATTATTTCATCTCACTATTTCACACTTATGTGGTTTTGGAATAGAACCTGGGCCTTATACTTGCTATGTTAAGTCTCTTCCACTGAGTAACACCCCAGCTCTAACTAATTCATTTTAACTTGGGAAGGACAAGAATGCCTTCAGCTCCTGACCCATCTTCTGACTTGAGCTGTGTAGCACCTGGGGCTATTCAGCAGCATGGGGTACTGCAAACTGGAGCCAGATGGATAGAGCTTAAACCTGGCCCTTTCCATTGCATCTTGGGTAACCTGGAGCAACTTGCCTAACCTCCCTGTGCCTCAGTATTCGCCCCTGTGAGGTGGGGAGAACTTGGACCTTTGTCTTAGAGTTCTTAGGAGGACTGTGGTCCCTTGGAAGGATGTGTCTGATGTGGAACAAGTGTTCAGCAAATGTGAGTTGTTCAATGCCATGTTCCTCTGTAATGTTTTCTTCTGGCTATATGTCATGGTTGCATGTCCCTTCCCCAGCCTCCCCCACACTCCAGCTGTTGAGCCAAAGAACCCAGATCTGCAGGGCAGCAAGGAAAAGCCTCTTCATCTTGTCATGATGTCAGGAGGGCTCCTTATCAATAATGGAGCAGTTTTTCCAGGAACCCAATCTAGAGAGTGCAGTGTCCTGGCTGCTGCAGGGCCTGGCTGACTGGTGTTCCAGGAAGACACTGGACAGAGAGGGGTGTTATCTGAGTGTGTCTTGCCTACTATGTGGGTAGAGGCGGGGTATGCCGCCTTGAAAGAGGGCTCTTCCGTGCTCCCACATCCTGTTACAACAGCTGCAGATAGACAGCCCTGTACCTAACCTGTTGTGCTCAAGGCATGAGCCTGGAGTCGCTGGTGTGGCTGTATTCTGAGTGCCTCCCTTGCTGCTTATTCTCAAGTCTTCAAATCCAGATGACTTTGTTTTTCATTGGATCCCACACCTTCCCCCATCTCAGTACAACAGATCTCATCCAGGCGTGCCTTGGTGGCTAAAGCAGTATCACTTTGCTTCCCTGATCTTCATGTAGCCTTCTCCCATATTCTACTTCAACATACACAGCACATACACCCACACAGATTCACATATGCACATGCATGCAGACATATACATACTGGCATCAAAGAATTAAAAGGCAAAGTTGATTTGTCACCTCCACGCCAGAACCCTTTGATGTCTGTCCTGTTCTCAAATGTTCAGTCTCACTACTCTATCTTCAAGGATTATGGTCAACCTCTGTTCACCATTATTCTAAGCTCTTCTGGTAGTCATTCATGACCTTCTGGCCATGCTGCTCCTGTTTCTACCTCTGTCCCAGGGTGAGCTAATTCTAACCTTTGGGCTTTGCCCTTGTTTTCTTTGCCACGGCTGACTCCTATTTATCACACCGTTTTCAGGTAATATCATCACCTCAGAGCAACCCCCCTCACCCCACCCCCATTACGGTCACTCCATGTTTTCATCTCCTCTGCCTGGTGGAGACCTGGGTATTTTTACCCCAAGACTCAAAGTGAATCCCTTGGTGCACAGGTCTAACCCTCTTACAGCCATATTCCAATATCTCCACTAATTCCTGGTATGTGGCAGGAACCAGCAGGCTGTATGGTAGAGTAGGGTGTGTGCTGGGCTTCAATCCTGCTCTGAGATCTCTGGAGGAGATCTCAACCCCACTGCTTCCTGCTGTGAGTTTGGGAAGGCTCTCACCTTTACCTGGGCTGTTAAATGGAGATAGGAGTCATCATATTCCATAAGATAAAGTCCACGAATAGGTGGATCTGGCACCCTTGTGGGGAGGGACCTCCAAATACATTGGTTTTTCACACTGAGGCTGACAGACCCCTTCTGTACCCATGAGAGTTAAAAGTTCACCACCAAATCAAAAGTGTGGTCAGTCAGCACCCTGCTTTGCACTAACATGGAACCAATGCCCAGAGGGTTTGCTGACTTCAGAGTTTTCCTTTGGGTAGTCAGTGGCTGCCAGGTTGCTCAGAGAGACCATTGCCACTTAACTATAAGCCTTTCTTCTGCATTCCGATGCCCATTATACAAATGCTATACAATTGGCTTTACAGGACCCCCTCCCTATCACCAAACCACAAGAGCAACAGATTGAAAGATTTTGCCACTGTGAACATGTGTTTTGTTGGAAAGATGACAAGAGGAAAAGAGGATGCATAGCATGCTTCTCCAGTGTCAGAGCTGCTGGTGATAAGGATGGTGCAATGTGATGTAACCCTGGAAGAGCTGGGAGAATTTGGATTTTATGGCCGTGAAAGCCCAGCTATAAAAACACTTTCAGTGTTGGCATTCCTACAGGAAAAATCATTTTCATTATTGTAACTTTAAAGCACTCTCATTTACTCTCCGACCAGTTTTCCCAAGTCCCATTGAAACAATTTATTTTATAGCTGTGAACTTGAAGTCAGGGTTGCTCTGCCTATAAAGCCAGCGAGAGCCATCAGAGCTTAGTAGATATGCTTCTGTCTGGTTGCCAGAATGCTATGTGGTGTTTTGTCCTTGACAAATGTGATGTGGATGAATCACTTAACACAGTACCCAACCCACAGTTGTAAGCATTAACTCTTATTCTGGCTCTTTTTTCATATAACACACTTAGTATGATCTGATGCTCAGTGGTATGGATTTGGTTCCTGTGCAGATGACCTTGAACACAGTCATCTTCCACCTCCCAGGCCATGCCTGGCTGACCCCCTAACACAGGGCTCGGTAAGAAGCCCCTGGTTACAAGGAAGGAGGGAACACACATAATAAACATTTGTGCCTGCCATGTGCTTCCCAACACCTTATAGCAGTTAAGTCTCAGGGTGTTCTTGGAAGGTGGGTTGGGTTCTCCCCAACTCACAGACTGAGAAACTGAGTTTTGGCATACTGTAGTAATTCATTATAGGAGTTAAAAAATGGCCAGGCTGGACTGGAGCCCAGATCTGACTCAGGACTGAACTTTCCTATGATCTGGAGTAGATTCACAAGTCTTGGCCCCTCTATTAGGGGTCTGTAGAACATATGAGCCCCCCAACTCTGCATCTCTTTCAGTAACCTTAAGCTGATGCTTGCTTCTTTGTGTACATTCCCTGGTTGTGGTCAACCCAGCACTAGGCCTTAGTTGGTCAGACCTCACATCTGTAACCTAACTCTCAACCCTAACAGAATCCAGTTAAAGGAAGCTATCTACTGTCAAGACTGCTTAATATTTCATGGTGTCCTGGATTGCTCTTCTCTGGGGGCAGGCAAGGCTGCTAATGGATCAGCCACAGGCACCAGATGTCCTGGAGCTGGGACAGATAGATGGCCCAGTGGAGAAGCAAATGGACAATGGGTGTTTCACACAAGGCATCTTGTGAAGGGCATGTCTGTGTATTTACAGTGATCAAATTACAAAATTTCCAATTTAGGTGGATCTTTGAACCTAGATGTCAAGGAAAAGCTACTTAGGTACTTTTATTACCCTTACATCAACTTCCTCCACACAGTCTTCTAAGGAGTGTGAACCTGTATAAAGACAGGCGCACACACACACACACACACACACACACACACACACACACACCCTCTATTGGCTGAGCACCCCAATCTGCTAATGGGAAAACTGAAACAACAGAATTAACCTGATGAACTCTGGATCACCCCCAGAGGTAATGAAAACTTTCAAATTTGGCCTAGCATTGTTCTCTGTCCCTACCTCATAGGATACTGGAAAGAGTTTGGAATATGGAGACAAAGGAAACTCAGTTTCTCTTCCATCATCCACTTACTGCCTATAGCAAGGTTGCTTCTCCATCTGAGCCTCAGTTTCCATTTTCTGGGTAATTCTTGGGCACTATGATGGTCAGTTTACTCCTGTAGGATCAGATTGGGTTGGGACTTTGTGTGGGAGGGTAGATGGCCAATAGAGAAGAAAAGGCCCTTCAAGGTCTGTGTCCAAGATCTTGGCCTAGATAACGTAGTCACCAATCCTGAGCCAAGAAATGAGAGGCAGCTTCAGAAGTACTGCTTGCCTATTTCTTAAGAGTTCATCTGCAAAGAAAGCTCGTTGATGGATGGAGGCACATGCCAGGAAAGCTGTATCCATGAGCTACAAAAATAGGAGCCAGGGAACCTGAATCTCAACAGAGACAGACAAAGAGATTGAAGACACATCTAAATTGGATTAGAACCCCAGCTGTCTCCCTATGGTTTGGAAGTGACTTATGTAGTACCTGCTATATACTAGGTACTGAGATAAGTCCTTGAGATGTGAAGTGAAGAAGACAGACATGCCCCTGCCCCCAGGCCCGTGCTCTAGTAAGGGAAAGAGTTGATGTTTCCAAATAAGAAACAGAAATGAGACCCAGGGGCTCTGCAGGAAGCAGATAAGATGGGATTGAGGGAGGGGCATGTTGATAGGGAGGAGTGAATTTTGAGTTGGACTTGAAGGATGCCAGGGGATTGGTAGGAGTCACACAGGGAAAGCGTGAGGCAGTTCTGAAGTGGAGTAGCAGCTGGGACATCCCCACAGAAAGGAGCAGAAATGCCAAACTCAAGATGGCTTCCATAAGAAGGTCACCTTCATCTTACTGAGCTGGGAGTGCTCCTGTAGAAAGGTGAACAGCTGGAGGACATAGCTCAGCTCAGCCCTGTCATCAAGGCTCTAGGATCCTCTTGTGCCACTGTCCTTCAGACTCCAGCACCACCACAAGCCTGAATCCCCTCATGGTACCTCTGGTGTCAGGCACGTGGAGACCTGTGTCAAAGGGAAAGGAGAAAGTCTCTGGTGCCTTTTCTGAAAGAGTGGATTTCTGCAGTGCTCCTCACCTTCACCAGCCCAGGCCCCAACCCCCCACAAAGGTGTTTGTCTTTGTACTGGTATGACAACACCATTTCTTTAAGGCTTATCAAGACCAAGCCTTGCCAGCCTGGCAAGTGTGTTTGACCCATATGGTGGGGTGCTGAAAACAGTCTAAGTTTGAATTTCTTCCGCCTTCTGTTCAAGAAAGCATGCAAAACTCCTGTAATCTGTTTCCTCTCCTACCTCTGTTGCTTGCTGAGGATGCAATACAGTGGATCGCGGGGACCTCCGACCCCACCATGGCAGGTGTGCCATCATTCCATCCTTTCGCTCTTGCAGATAGAGGAAAACTGAGACTCAGCTCCCCAGAGATGCTAAAAGGCAGTCTTGTCCCAACCCTCCTTCAGAACCCAGCTCCATCTTTCTGCCTCTGCATTAACAGTCCATAGATAACAGACATCACTTTGGACAGTTACATGGGCTGAGAGCTTCCCACCCCCATCACATGCCGCCAGATGAACCTGCTATTTTAGTTGCAGGCACTAATGCCTCCATTCAAACCTCCTGAGGCCACAAGGTACAGAATGTTTTCAATCAATTGCTTCTATTTTCCTTCCTGTACATGGGCCTCAGTGCCTGTTTAGGATAAGATTGACTCGAATCCTTCCTGAATTCTGGCAGCCCTGATTTGGCTTGGAGTTAATTATCTCTAATATGCTATACAATTCCCTC